TTACCACTGACACACCAGTGGACAAATCTAAAGGTATATGAATGATTTCACAATGTCAGAAAAATACGTAGGTTCAAGAAGTCTTGATATAAAATGATAAAAACCCTATAACCCAAGCACTTTCAAAAGGTGGACCCTTCTTCTTCAGTGGCAAACTAGCCCACCTTTCAAAAGTGCTCGGGTTATAGGGTTTTTATCATTTGATATATGAATAAGTAAACACACATACAAATGATGATTTAGAACCTCTTCCTTACTTCTTGGAAACTTCACAAATTTGCTCTATCATGGACACAACATCGTAGTGAATGTATAAGTGGAAACATTTTATTAAGACCAACAGTTCAACCAACAGCTTCCCTTTATTTTTATCGGATTCGATAACCGTCATATTTTAATCCCTTTAACTTTTCAAGTTCATACTTAAAAGGAGATTTTCATATAACTTACTGTTTCCTCACATCTTATAATAACCAAGTATTTTGGTTGTATATATATTATTTACCACTCTGTCTTGTATTTATCAGTTCTATTTATACCTGAGAATCTTCTTGGATGAAAACAAATCCTCAAAAACCCATCCAGTACAGGAAAGATAAGCATAAAACCCTATCCATTACTGGAAAATTAATCATAAAAACTTACCTATTCATAGGAGATGCAAATTTCTTGAAACTTCTAACAAACCTGAAAATTAATTAAATAATAATGATTCTTCAAACAGATTTTTGTGTTTTTAAGCAGAAGAAATAACAAGCTCTCTGCCTTTTAACCAATTATACTAATTTAAGATACTAATTTATTACAAAGAGTTAAAACTAAATATCTACTAGAAAAAATTGACTAATAACATTTCTGAAATTACTACTACTAACAGTGAAAATAAATATCAGTTAGTCAAACATGGACACCATTAAGTGTCATAACATGCCAACAGCTCAATAGTCTAATATTCAATGTAAATAGTAGCAAAGTCTGAGAACGTCAAATCCTTCGCTGATCATGTGACTGATGATGTCACTGTAACTGGCCAGCTGAGTGTCATTTATATAGCATACAATTTAAAATCATTTTAATGGTGATTACATTTTCTATTTTCCATTTCTAGTTACTACCAAAACAGCCAAAAAGTAGATTACTAGTTTTCTTTAACAGCTTGGACTTTTTGGCAGAAAAAATAAGGTAAATTAAAACTGGGAGATCTGTTACATTCCAAAAGATCTCTTCGGAACAACTGGGAGATATGGTCACTAAGCTACTAGTAATCACACAACAATACACTCTAAAAAGTTATGATTCTAGAGAAAGGAAATATGCACCAACTCATATAGTGTATAAGAGAAATGTTTATGTTAGAGTATCAAGTGTGATGAAAAATATCCTCAATGTAAGTGTTTATAAATAATTTCAAATCTAATAAAACATAAATTGTAATATGTGTTGCTGTTGTAACACACTGTTTCATTTTATGTACCTTCTAATTTCAGCATCATTAAATCCTTTTATGGCATCTCGATTCACAGTACGAGGTCGACCACGTTTCCTAGGCCGATCATCATCAGACTGTTCTTTCTCTGAACCACTTTCATCACCAGCATCGCGATTACCTTTTTTCTTTGCATCTTCATCACTATCTGAATGTCCTGGCTGATAACATAAAACAGTAAAAATACTTTGGAAAAAGGTAACATGGTAGAAGTAACAAATCTTTCCAATATAACATAGTATTGAACTTACATTATAGTATTATAAACATTTTTAAAACAAAAGGTACCGAATGATGAATATTTAATTACTATAATTTCAATAAAATTTTGAGATTTACTTGTAAAGAACTCATGAAAAGAAAAACTGAGAATAATTACACCATAAGTGAGAAATTAAATCCTAGTTTTAAAAGGTTTAAACCAGCAAATGTTGCTTAAGAGTAAATATAACGAAAAAGTAATCTTATTATTTAAACTAAGGTCCAGAAAGATGGAGATTGATCTTTAGTTTTGTACAATCAGGCATAATATAGCAGTTGAAATACTTAAATAAAATTTTCTTTTAACTTTTTGCTACGAGATCAGAAGATAATTTAAATTTTGCATTGGAATGTTTCTCGAGATCAAATGAACATTTCTGATTTACAAGATATATCTTAGGTATTGCATTACATACATCATATCTTGTAAGTAAGTGACTAAACAATTTAAACTATATCTTCTTTTTTTTTTACTTTACCTAAAAATAATAAAATTATAAAAATCCCAAAACAAAAACAGATGAAACAAACCTGGCGAACAGGCTTTCTACTGCGGGGAGGTAACAATAGTTCCATTTCTTCTTTTTTTCTTTCTTCATCCTCAACTTTCTTTCTCTCTTCTTCAGGAATGATCTCTTCCCAGTTTATTCCTACAGTTCTTTCTTCTTCGGCAGGTTCATCAACTGGCATTTCTTCTTCTACTTCCGTAAAGTTAAAACTAGCTACCTGACAAAATCAAGAAAAATCTTACATTTCAGCCAAAATATTTTTCAGATACAAGATTTTACCCATAACTTTTGAAACTGAAATAAAAGTTTTGGGAACCCAATTAAAACTTCCTAATATTAATAGAAAAATCTATCAAATTATTAACATTCTAAATTTCTCAAAGTGTGACTAACCACTCGTAAAAGATTTAATTACTCTTGATATTAAAACTAATAAAATATACTATCTTACAACTTTTATGATATAAAGCATAAAAATTTGGCCGTTTATGACATATACACCAAAATTATATAAGCTGTGATTAAATGGGTCTCAGAAACCTATTTTTACATAAAGTTGTCTGAACCTAGGATCAAAAGAAAAGAAAGAATCATATACAGTGACAGAATATTTAAAAAAAAAATAGCCCATGAAATATATTTTGACAACCATTTAATGAAAGTAACAAACAAGTCATGCAATTCTATTTTGTTTTTAATGAATGTGGAAAACTAGTGCAAAGCATGATCAGGTCAAAGTTGGTTCACAAAACATTATTATATTCAAAATATAAACAAGTAAAAAGCCAGGTTTAAGCTTGATGGGTCAATTACAGACAGTGTGTAGGCAAAAAAAAATCAACTTGTTGAACATAAAGATTGGTTTCAATTTTGCACAAAGCGCTCAAGGGCTATCTGCACTAATGTCCCTAATTTAGCAGTGAAAGACTCAAGGGAAGGCAGCCAGTCATCACCACCCATCGTCAACTCATGGACTACTCTTTTAACAATAAATAGTGAAATTGACCATCACATTACAATGCCCCCATAACTGAAAGGGCGAGCATGTTTGGTGGGACAGGGATTTGAACCCACAGATTACGATTCAAGCACCCTAACCACATAAAGAATGCAGTCCTGTTATTAAAGATAGCTGTGTAGATTACATAAGCATAAAGTACTACTAGTAATTTACTATTAATTCTATTCTATTGAGAGAGAGAGATGGTAGTAATTCATGGTTTTTGGTACGATGACCTAATTTATGCTAATATTAGGCTGTGGACTTCTTTATAAGCACCAATAATGCATAAACAATTCAAATGTGAAAAGCATGTAATTTCATTAATTCCCAATGGATTATCTTTAGCTAAATTATTTTGGAAATTGAAATAGCTGCTGTATAAGAAAATAATTATATAAAAACAACTTTATGGACATAAATCTTGGCTGCCCAAATTAGAATGTGTTGCCAAACAGAATATAACTTGCCTTAACTTTTGGACTGTCAATTGCTATAGGATACCAGTTTTTATTTCAGCAACAATGACCATAAAATAATTGTCTGACCATAGTCACAGTTGTTAAGTACAATAACTTACATCCTTACTAAAACATTTGTCATACTGAAAAATATAGCATTTTAACTGCTGTTTAAAAGATATATTATTTTTGTCAGTTTCAAGCTTTTAACAAACGTTTTATTCACTGAAAACAATGAGTTAACTTACTTTGAATGCAGACAAGAGTTCATCACCAGCACTAGCAGACTGGTCTTCTCGAGTTTCTGCTCTTTTTAAGATTTCATCTATATCAACCTAAAAACAAAATATTAAGCACAAAGAAAAAATAAAAATAGAATTCATGGAATATCCATCTAAATCTGAATAAATATAAATGACTCCAACAGAATACCCTCTATACAAAAATTAGGCATATGTGAAATTCATTTTCACATATACAATAAAATATTGGTTTCATGTAAAAACATTTCTTTTATATGGAATAATCAATAGAGATACCAGTAGTTTTTCTCTGAGCTTGTTGCCAGCTATATATATTTTCAGGTAACAATGTAATAAATCAATAAGAACAAGTACAACTACAGGAAATAAATACAATCTATGTTTTCAAACAAGATCAAGGCACAAACAACATTGTTCACCTGAGGTTCTTCACTTCCTTCTTCATTCTCCTTGAACAAATCTTCAGCACCAAACTTGAGAATAGCAGACAGCTCCTCCTTGTTAAAAGGGGTCGTGTTACTAAACAAAAGAAACAAAATCAACTTCTGAGGATACTAATTAAATTCTTGTTAAATATTAGGTCATCAAGAAATTAATGTCACTTTTTTTTTAATGAAAAAACCCGACCAACTTAAATATAAAACAAAATGAAGTAGTCTCCATTCTTATCGATGATGCTTTTCCATCTTACAATCAGGTTGTTAATGCCCTAATT